ACCTTTGAGTAGTGAAGGGCGGGGTATAAATCCAATCTCTTCTCCTCTTCCTCCTCTAATCTGGGAGAACCAGGTTTGATTCCCCACTCCTCCACTTGCACCTGGCTGGATGACCTTGGGCAAGCCGTGGCTCTGACAAGAGCTGTCCTTGAAAAAGAGCAGTTTCTCTCAAGAGCTCTCTCAGCCCCACCTACCTCACAGGGTGTCTGTTGTGGGGAGGGGAAGGGAGAGGAGTTTGTAAGCTGCTCTGAGACACCTTTGGGTAGTGAAGGGCCATGGGGTATAAATCCAATCTCCTCTTCTCTTCTTAAAATTGTTCAGCCTTACCTTTTTTTTTAGTTCATGGGTATTAATTTGTGTCGAGGTAGGACGTAGGATCAATAGTATTAGGGTTTTCCCCTGTACTAGCTGGCCTTGATGAAATTGAATGTGTAGGAAGCCTGCTCTGTTTTATTATTGAATTCTGCTGTGCTTTGTACTGGAATGAATGGCTGTTAAGTACGGTGGAAATCATTGTACAAATTTACAGGGGTGGTGGAAAATACCGTCAAGTCCACAGCTGACTTACGGCAACCCCGTAGGGTTTTCAAGGTCAGAGACATTTCAGAGGTGGTTTGCCATTGCCGGCCTCCGTGTCATGACCCTGATATTCCTTGGAGGTCTCCCAGCCAAATACTTGCCAGAACCAACCCTGCTTAGCTTCTGAGATCTAATGAGAACAGGCTAGCCTGGGCTAGGACCAACCAAGTCAATGCAAAATATGTTGCAAGCTTTCAAGCACACCAGAACTCTTCATCAGGCTGGATGTAACAAACATTTAAAAGGTAGAGGAATGGGAAGCAGATTTTTCAGGTGTAGTGGTTAGGAGCGCGGACTCTAATCTGGGAGAACCGGGTTTGAGTCCCCACTCCTCTACATGCAGCTGCTGGTGTGACCTTGGGTCAGTCACAAGTTATTTCAGAGCTGTTCTTTCATGAGCAGTCCACAAAAGAGCTCTCTCCGCCCCACCTACCTCACAGGGTGTCTGTTGTGGGGAGGGGAAGGGAAAGGAGAGTGTAAGCTGCTCTGAGACTCCTGATAGTGAAGAGTGGGGTATAAATCCAATTTCCTCCTCCCCCTCCCAATTTGGTCTTATAAACGTCCTCTGTGAAATGCATACAGGCAAATAGTTTAACTTTATTGCTAGTGTTAGTTTAAAAGCATATCCTCTGGTAAGAGGTAGCATTTGATGGTGTCCACTCTGTGGAAACACAAAAAGCAGTCCAACCAAATTCCTCTCAAATATGACACACAGTTCCCACACTGCATGCAAAAGGAAGCACCTGGTAGTCTTTATATTAAGAACATTTAAGATAAACTTCAGATGATGCACAAGGTATAGTGTCAATTAAAGTCTAGTCAGGTCATCTTACTTATGTGTGCTCAGAGTTTGGCAGCCTTCACTAAAGCAATTTGTAGAGAACTCTGCAATTTTAAATTGCTATGAAACCTCTAGAGTGAAACGAAGAAATCACTATAGACCAGTAAAGCGTGAATAACAATTTTTTTGATGGGGGGGATCTGTAGTCTGAAGTTGCACCTGGCATAAGTATTGTAAGCATGGGGTGTAGGCTATTTGTGCTGTAAAATCATGCTGTCAGGGTTCTGCTACTGGGGGAAAAAAGAGCTTCAGCCAGTGCTACGTATGGACTTGGACTCTTTCAGATTGCTGCTGCCACTTTGAGTATGCAGTATTTATGTTGGTTCATGGCCCTTTCATGGTTCTTGTCGTAAATGCTGCCTGGAGACTGAAGAAACCCGTCCTCCTTATCCTGTGCCGTAGTTCCTGTGCCATACCCTACAGTTGTTGGCGAGAGATGGTACTGGTAACAAGGATTTAGCACCAACAGTTTGGTGTAGTGGTTAAGTGTGCGGACTCTAATCTGGGAGAACTGGATTTGATTCCCCACTCCTCCACTTGCACCTGTTGGATGACCTTGGGCAAGCCATAGTTCTGATAAGAGCTGTCCTTGAAAAAGAGCAGTTCTTGAAAGAGCTCTCTCAGCCCCACCTACCTCACAGGGTGTCTGTTGTTGGGAGGGGAAGGGAAAGGAGTTTGTCAGCCGCTCTGAGACTCCTTCGGGTAGTGAAGGGCGGGGTATAAATCCAATCTCTCCTTCTCCTCCTCCTCCTCAAAAGCAAGGTGGCATTTTCTTTTTTTCTTTTGTCCAGATTACCTCACGTGGATAATATACTGAGAACTGATCCGCAGTCTGCAGGCTCTTGATAAGAGCTGTCTTGTCTTGAGTTGCTTTCTGCTTCCTTCTGGAAATACACTAGGCCTGTCACGATGAGACAAACCTGCCTATTGGTCAGTGGCAAATCTGCCATTTTTTCCCCATGTTCCCCCACTCGTTTATCCCTATACGAGCCTTCTCTCTACCTTCCAAATTCAGTTAACCCGTACCTCTGCAGGAACATCAGAGTTACTGTTTGTGTTTCAGTGACTCAAGTGAGTGAGCCGAGCTTCATGCTCCCACGAAAAATAAAAATAATGAACCTTCAGCAATGTTACGTGTGAGTGCACATTTATTAAATCTATTCAACGTCTCATTTGAACAGGCTCTTCAAGCACCTGCCTGCCATGAGAACTTGGTAAAAGTAGGTGGTTACATCTTGGGAGAATTTGGAAATCTGATTGCCGGTGATCCGAGATCTAGGTACAGACCCTCTTGAACAGGAATTGGGAGATGTTTTCTTGGTATGGTAGACAAGCAGCCAATTTCAAAATTGGATCGTCGTCTACATCAGTAATGTGCATTTGTTCTTACACTCTCACTGGCACAATCACTGTGATCTCTGCACATACTTTTCCAGCTGCATGCCACATTTCCATCCATGTCTCGTCCTTGTGAGAAGCACAGTAAAGGTGAAGGTTTCCCTTGCTTGAAAGCTGGTCGAATCCGACTCTAGGGTTGCGGTGCTCATCTCCGTTTCAAAGCCGAAGAGCCAGAGCTGTCCGAAGACGTTTCCGTGGTCATGTGGCTGGCATGCCTAGACGCCGAGGCGCACGGAACACTGTTACCTCCCCACCGAAGCGGTACTTATTTATCTACTTGCAATTTCTTGTTTTCGAACTGCTAGGTTGGCAGGAGCTGGAACCAGAGACGGGAGCTTACTCCATCATGCGGCATTCGGGTCTCAAACTGCTGAACTGCCGACCTTCCAGCCTGCAGTTCAGCGTCTTAACCACTAAAACAGTCTATGTCTGAGAGACTTGCCCCCCCAGTAACATAGCTAATCTTTCAGTTATCTAACAGCAGCTTTTGGCTCTGCTGCTTTCATTAGTACACTGCTTCCCAGAGCAAATTCCTTGAGTTAGATCTTTGAGTTGGATCTCTTATACATCCCACCCCCCAGCTGTGGTGGCCCATGGAGAGCATGGCACTATATAGCTTTATAAATAAGGCTGGGGAGGCTGTGTGGAGATAGTCCTATTGGGTTGTGGGCCTGAAAGCTCAATCTTTGTTGCCAAAATGATACATGCCTGAGTACTACAACTGCTCTCTATAAAGTGCCGAGTTCAAGGTTCCAGGAATCTCATGAATGCAGCAGGGCTATTTTTGGGCAGGAACGCACAGAGTTCCGGCTGGCTTCAAAGTTTGCTGTTGGGTGTGGCCTACTATGCTAATGAGTTCCTGCTGGGCTTTTTCTACCAAAAAAAAAGCCCCGGAATGCGGTATTAGAATTCTGAGCTGTTAAACGATGAACTTTCATGCCTCCAGTAATTGTCTATTTGCCAAACTGTAATCTCAATTGTCTTTCCCCCAGTCCTCTGATCCAGTTCAACCTGCTGCACTCCAAGTTCCATTTGTGTAGTGTCCCTACCCGTGCATTGCTTCTGTCTACTTACATCAAGTTTGTGAATTTGTTCCCTGAAATAAAAACGACCATTCAGGATGTCCTGCGCAGTGACAGTCAGCTGAAAAATGCTGATGTTGAGCTACAGCAGAGAGCTGTTGAGTACCTGAGGCTCAGTACAATTGCAAGTACTGACATCCTGGTATGTATGCTCAGCTGAAGTCAGTACTGCATACTTGTGAACCTTGCATCTGTGAATGTTGTTCCGTTCAAGCTCTGTTGGGGGCGTTCAGTTGAGTGCTGATGTTGCGCTGTTTGATTTCCGACTGTAGTAAATCGGTGGTCATTTTAGTCGATTTGGGGGTTGCCGTTCGAAAAACGAATAGCAGCATGTTTTTTTTAATCCTTACCAAAAGGGTACCTGTGCCTAAGGTTTCATACTGACTTGTTTTCCCTGTAAGGCAACTGTGCTAGAAGAAATGCCACCATTTCCAGAGAGGGAGTCTTCCATTCTGGCGAAGCTAAAGAAGAAAAAAGGCCCCAGCACAGTCACTGACTTGGAAGAGACGAAAAAGGAGAGGAACTCTGATGTGAATGGTGGGACTGAAACGACTCTTGCCAATGCCAGTTCTGCGGTAGGATTCTTTTAACAGCTTACCTGTCCTCTTCTGTTGTTTGGGTAGCTTTGAGGGGGACCGGGGAAGGAAAAGGGTGTTGGTGCATATAAGCTTATTGAAAGGCTTCCAGCTATATTGCTACTCATGTATAAGAAAAACATTTTCCAAAATATTGTTTAAAGGCTCTTCTGATTGTCTCAAGTGATTCTATAAATAACCCTATTTTCTGATTATCAAAAGCTTGGCACCACGTGGAGGGGGAGGGTAGCTAGTGAAATTTAGGAAAAAGCAGATTTGAATAGAGAGTGGTATATTTTTAGTGCACTGTATTGCCTTCAGGGATTTCTTTTAGAAGTCTAGCGGATGGGCTTTAGTTCTTTTGAAGTTCTCAAATACTTATCTATATTTTTACTGGCTTAAAGGTGATAACCGATTAACTCGTGTGCTCTGTGAGCC